ACTTTTGTTTAGACAAATTGTCTACAATTAAAAGTAGTTGATTTGAGGGGTGGGGGAGCAAACGGCCCCTATCAGCTACACAAGTGACGTCGTTGTGTACCTTAGCAAAACCATTATATTTTATTAATAGATACGCGAATAGTGATTTAAATGAAACGATTTCAAAAGTTCGAATCAATATTGCTAAAACAAAACTTTAACCACTAAGATAAGACATTTTTAACGTAAAGTGATCAACACTAAAGTTTCTCATTTTTAATGTTTGGTGATTGCATATAACCCCTAATATAATATTTCCATGAGGAGAAAAAAGTTACTAAAGGTACATATAAACAACATTACAAATTTCTATGATGCATTACACTATATAAAGTCATCCACCATATTTCCATGAGGGAGAAAAAAGTCACTAAAGGTACATATAAACAATCTTACAAATTTCTATGATGCATTACACTAAATAAAGTCATCCTCCATTCCTAATGGGTACATCAAATGTACCACAAAACATTTCTCCTTTCCTTTTATTCTTTCATTATGAATAATCATGTATATCAGTTTAATCTCCACTGGAGAGACAGACTTTTGTGTTCTTTTCTGCAAAATTAAATTACTTTTTAATAAATATTTTATTATATTCTTATCTAAGGGATAATCTTTTTTATGTCAAACTCTAGATCTTTTTGTAATTATTTAAATACAATTTATTCATTTTTAGATATGATTTTCCTTTAACAGTTGAGACCACTCCTGATATAAAAGCGATCTAGTCTTAAATCAGTTGCAAATAATTAAACCCTTTTGTTAATCAAACACAACATTATTCTTCACCCAACCTATGACTAAGAATAAGAAACAAAGTACATACATACAAATACTAAAATAATAGTGCATAACGCATACGCAGGTTTATTATACTAGTTGCCCGTATATCACATCACGCGTGCACACCATATTCACTTGCCACGATGCGCGCATTTAGGGATAATAATGGGCGAGATTGGATTGGGGACAGTCATTACCATCTCCATCCCGTTGAGGATTTTCTGGGAGTTGATTGACAAATGCAACAGGAGTTGCTATTCNTAAGGTGAGGGCAATCCTCACCTAATTAGCCGATTTTATTAGGTGGAGTTAGGCCCAATATTCCTAACACAACCTATGACTAACAATAAGAAACTAAGTACATACATACAAATACTAAAATAATAGTGCATAATGCATACACAGGTTTATTATACTAGTTGCCCGTATATCACATCACGCGTGCACACCATATTCACTTGCACGATGCACGCACATAACTTTCACACATATCAAACGTGCTGATGCGCGCATTTAGGGATAATAATGGGCGAGATTGGATTGGGGACAGTCATTACCATCTCCATCCCGTTGAGGATTTTCTGGGAGTTGATTAACAAATGTAACAGGAGTTGCTATTCTCTTTCGAAGTACCGCTGTTTTTTTTTTTTTTTCAAGAAAAGGAAAAAACCCCTCCCTTCAAGAAAGTCGAACCTGAGTCATTAACCTGGTGAGAATCACTAGAGCAAGGCCTTAAATCTTAATCTTCTTGTTGATAGTTGTTGAAAAGTGACTTCAATAGTTAAGCATTCCTGTCTTAGTTGTCTTGAGAATAGTGTTTGCTATACTTTGGATTTGTCTACACTTTCTTTTATATAATAGAGAAACTTTAATAATTGTTCAACAACAAATATTGACATATTAGCGTGGAAAAATGTTGGATAGAAATTAGATGATATCTATCATATTCGCAAGTAATATATGATTAAATTATTTATTCAATTTTCGACAAACCAACCTTGATATTTATTGCAATTACACAAAATGCTATGGTGAACCTGGAAATCATAAAAAGAATCACCAATAAATTTTTTAGGCAAATTGTTGTCAAACGACCTCCAGAACGATGATGTAAAGTCATTGTTTATTCAGTCGATATTAATGACCTGATGACTGAAATAAAATATCGACACCACATTTGTTTAAATCAATTAATCCTACAAGCTATTTGAACTATTTGATGTAGCCTAATTTAATTAGTGTTACTCAAGGCCCGACCCATAAACGAAACAAAATGAACTGACTCGACTAAGAAACCTTAACTAGTGCATTCGACTCTACAAAGAAAAACCAGCAAGCTAAATTTGAAGTAATTATTACGACTAAGAAACAACTTTGACCAGAAAATGTCCAAACTGAACTCATGATGCAGTTGCTCGATGCCTGCTTAGCAGAAGAAACTTTAGGTTCTCCCCACTCCATGGCCTTCTTCTCAAGCATATCAAAATCAGCCTTCCCAGCCTGTTGAGAGATACATAATTATGTACAAGAATTTAATTTTTAAATTGTATCAGAGCAAGCAACGGTTATGGGTACACTGCCACTTATTTCTTAAAAATTGTGCACTTGTATGGTTTTGATGGAAAAATATAAATTCTGCCCCCACGTGAGATAATATTTACATGAAATACATTTTGGCCTTATCTAGCCCATGTTTGACTATCATTATTTTTAAATTTTTTTTTACATGCTTATTTTCAACCATATATTTAAATAATAAAATATTCTGTACGTAAATTCAAAATTTTTCTTTATTTTTTAACCATATATTCTCCTAAAAGTCACTATTCAAAACACGATTTTTCCCATTTAATGGTTGTCAAACAGGGGCCTAATGGCATAAGTTTTTAGAGCAAATGATTCAACAAGTTGTAACGAAAGGAAGTACATATATCTACTAAAGCAAGTTAGAGAAGGGACTAAAAGAAAATTGACCTCAATTTGGGCTCTAATTTCTCTGTCAAAACTTTCATATCTCTTGCGGACAAGCTCAGGCAAAGAACCGTCCTATTTCAAGACAAGAATAGGATTTAGCACAAAAATGGTCCAATTATTATTTTAATTATTCAATACTGCCAAGAGGAAAAGATACGGAATTATATGGAAGGGAGACAAAAGATCACCGCAATCAGCTTGGCAGCATTTCGGAGTCCACGGGCTAGAGCATCCATACCAGCGATGTGAGCAATGAATATGTCGTTGACATCCGTGCTCTCTCTTCGACCGTTACGTCAAAATTTATGAACAAGTCTATACTAGTTTTTTTAATAATTGCATGATAAAATCTTTCTCAAACTCATTTTTCAACTATCATAAACTGATCTGTATCCCAACCTGTACCACCGAGAAGTCTCCATATTACAACTTAAAACAGAAGAAATTTACAGAATTCTCCAAAAAAAGATATAGTTAAAATACCGATTTGGGGGTCACCAGTATTTGCGTCAATGTTTCCGAGTAGACCATTAATTCTTGCAGTCTCGAGCTCATGATGACAACTGCAATAACAATGAAGGTGTGACACAGGCTTAGCTCATTTATGTTTGAAGATATTCCAGCGATTAATTTTCAGTGCATAAGTAGATAATCAACATTTAGATGACAAGTTTCAGGAATGGAACGTGACAAACCTATGACCGTCAAGAGTTGCATGGTTACACTCAATGTTCATATTTATGCAGAAAGTTAGCTGCCGTTGCAGCATCCCAATCATACCTAGTAGCATGATCAAAATGCGTGATAAGAAGAGTCTATATAAACATAATTTCCAGTCTAAAATTTTTTATAAGAAACAGAAACATACTGGTGTTTTGTAGGCTCCTGGGGCTTAGGTTCGATGAATAACGTCCCTGAAAAAGTATTAACATTAAAAAAGAAGAAATAGATATGGCATGAATTAAAAGAATTAAAGTGGAAATTGGAAGAGGAAACCCATTCAGTACATAAATATACGATAATAATAGGATGCTCAGCATTTTATCGCCGCTAATGAAGTAGATATGAGCAATACCATTGAATCCAATCTTCTTCTTATAGGCAACAGCAGCTTCCATAAACCTTGCCTGTAAAGATGTACACCTTTCTATCAGCATACTTTATGAAATAACTATGAAGAAACAACAACATTGGAGCATTTCATTGCCTCACTGAAAGAGCAAAAGAAAACTGCCAAGATTTTCAAGTGTTTACTAGTACTGCAGAACTTTTTAAGAAAAGGATTCAAAAAAAAGAAAAAAAGGCCAAATATGCTCTAGCATCGTAACATTACTTCTATTTCATTTATTCAAAATCATCAAAATTTTGACATCCATTGTTAGAAATTAGAATTACACGCAGATACACAGAGAAAATTACACCTGCATCAAGAAGACATGCAAGTATCTTACCATATGATTAAGCTCTCTTTTGTTAAGGGATAGAAGTGTTTCATTGAATGTGTATGTGACATTTCATGAACCGGTGCACCACTTGGTCTGATTCGTCTTAGCCATTGGATCGCACCATTTCATGATCTGACGGCACAAATTAAACCATGAAGTGTAGTGTCCATTTAATATACCTATTCACCAATTTCTGAATAATCACTAGCCATGCAGATGCCACGCGTACATCCAACTAAACCAAACGCAGAACGAAGTGACGCCACCTGTCACTTGTGTGCAACCTAGGATGCCAATTCATCGAGCTTCCCGTTGCCATGTCATCGAACCATAAGTCCATTTCCGAAAAATATAAGACTCCCTAGCTCCTCGCGACGATGCCAACTAGAAGTTAGTCAACATATTACATTTTACAGCTTAGTCATAACACAAACAGAATAGTATATTCCTCGCTATTAAGATAATAAATTTATCTAGTAAAATTTTTTGTATTAATTAGGCTGGTAAGCAAGGAAGAAATAGGCTTTGAACAGCTTAATACCAAATCAAATATTTTATTTAATGCATGTTTTACTTATAAATATATAAATAAAATTTTATAATAGACCAGTTTCATTGATTAGAGCTAAAAATAAATAACTTTTTTTAACAATAAGAGACACTACATGTTTGGCTAAACTTAAAAAGTAATTTTTTTAATTTTATTTGCTAATGACTTCATATATAACTTATATTAATAAGCAAAAAATCTACTTATTTTAACCATGAAATAGATACTTTTATCAAAATAAATATCTTGCTCTATAATAAAAAGAATATTTGTAAAACTTATTTATTTAAAAATTAATTTGATAATATACAAGAAGTTGATCCAAATATGGACGTGAAATAAAACCAATTTTTTAGAGACCGTCGGATTTTCCCCATTTTGAGTGGGATTCCTCACTCACTGTGGAATATGATGGTATATAAAATTGAAACCTATATCAAATAATATTTTGATAACAATAACGTACAATGATGTATTTTTTATGCTTGTGTTTCAGCCAGAGCTTTAAGAATTTTGGAATGACTGAATGTCAAAACTTCTTTGCAATAATATTCGTTATCTATTTTCTTAGTTTTTGGTTAGTTGATATATATCATTTGCTTATCCAACTTTTGCCACTTTATATTTTCTCAGGTAGCTATGAAAATCTAGTTGGACATCTTGGGGTGGACATCTAGACTTGTACTTCATTGAGCGTTTCACACTCTTTGCCACGATTGTCATGAACTTAGCATCTTAAACTCAATCTCTAGTGCCATGAATTCGTGTCATCTTCCCACGGCCACATCTTCGTAGGTGCACCAATGGATCACCTCCTGTCCCACGGAATGTGTGCCAAAAATGCAACACTGAATCGCATACAATCCTATGGTACACAATGGAAGCACTGCCTCTCAAATAGTTAAGATATACATTTATATGCATGAAGAAATATCTCACCTTCATCTTTTTCCCAAGATTATACCATTATTATACCATTTAAAAAGAAAGAGGGCTCTTGCTAGAAGGACCCTGCATATGCATAGGTAAAATATTTTGTAGACTTTTATAGTACTCTACACTGTAAAGAATTGAAATAGTAAAATTATAGTGTCTCTGCTATGTAACAAACATGTTCAAACTGCAAACCATTATAATCATACAGCATATATTCTTATAATCCAACAAATTGTGCATAGACTCTGTTACCTCATACTTAATCTTGGGAATGCCTGGGAAGAACTCCCCTTTCCATTCATCTGCAGGACACGTCGGTGGGCCGGCAGCAATCTGCATTCATTATATACAATTCAAGATTGCATATTAAAAACCCTCTATTTATATAACCGTAAATTCAAGCAATGATCAGCACTATATCTTACAGATAGAATGGACACCAAATTTAAACAGAGAATAGAAGGAAAACTATAGTCTTTCCAGCCTCCATACTCATCATCTCGTGCAAACCGAAAAATCTCTGCAACCGGGGTTGATCAATCACTCATAAATAGTACAATCAATCGACAGAATTGGTATAACAAATAAATTAGTATTTTTGAAGCATACTCTATACAAAACACAGAAGAAAAAAAAAAAAGAACAGTACAGTACAGTACAGTACATTCTTCCTCAAATTCTCGTTTCTCCTTCAGTTGATACTCATAAATTATCATAACAAAAATTATAAAACTTTGCATCCCGAATAATTCCTATCCTGCAAAAACTTAAAAGATTATTCAAAAAAAAAAAAAAAAACGCAGAGTACTCTTTTTGTTGTCTCGTATTATTTAAAAATCCAAGAAACATTTATAATTCAATGCAACAGTATAAGCAACAATTATATTTGTAACAATATAGTATAAGCAACAATTTGTAATTGCATTTTAGTTGGTTGAGAATTCTTTTTCATGGGGAAAGTCTTATTACGGATTGATTCAACTAATTAATCATGAATAAGAAAAAATTTATTTCAAAAAGAAAAGAAAAAATCGTAGGGAAAAAATCATAACTCAGGTGTATTGTTTACGTCAATTCACAAGTCAGGTTTATAGTTTGAAAATTTAAAATTCATGTATATATTTACTTAATTAAATATATTTATTAATTAAATACAATAAAATCAGATTTATACAATTAATTGGTCACATACATAATTATATGACACAATTTATTTATGGGTCACATCTTATCAAATTAATTGATCACGGATTATTTAATGGTCACAAATCAAAAAATTTAAAGGTCACAGTTTATTCGTCAGTCACAGATTTCCAAATTAGTCGGTCACAGATTATTTAATGGTCATAGACAAAAAAATTATATGTCACAATTTATTCTTCGGTCACAGATTTCCAAATTAAATGGTCACGGATTCTTCCACAGTCACATATAATCAAATAATTGGTCACAAATTAAGCAAATAATTGAAACTGCCTCCTCCACTGCCACTGCCACTGCCACCACAAAACAGCTACCACATAAACACCATCACCACCACCAACACAAAATAGCCACCACACAAACACCATCACCACCACCAACACAAAACAACCACCACACAAACACCATCACTACCACCATGTAGAAAATCGTTCAAACCCACCCCCACCGCCATATCCACCACCAAAAAATCGTCACCACACAAACACTATCACCACTATCGCACAAAACACCATTCACCCACTCACCAAAATGTTGCTTCTGCTTCGCCCCTTCATTACAACAGCACCACGGCGGAGTCGGCCTGACCGAGTGGGTGGATCTGCTTCTCCTTTTCATTATAGTAACTCGCCTAAGTGGGTGGATTTGCATCGTGGTGGATTTGCTTCACCTCTTCATTACAACATCACTGCCTCTTCATTACGTGAGCACCGACAACAGGTGCTCCGAGCGGTGGTCTAGAAAGAGAAAATTTCAAATCGAGCTGATGCGCTTCTGCCTCGATCGTCACCGGCGATGGATTGTTGATTTGGGTGGTGGTCTTCAACGGTGGGCGGTGGTCGAAGGTTCGCGTTGGTCGACAGTGGGTAGAGAGAGAGAGAGAGTGAGTGAAGATATGAAGAAAAATGGTCGACTATGGGTAGAGAGAAAGGGTGGAGATTTGAAGAGAAATTGAAGGAAAATGATTTAGGGTTTGTAGATACCTGAATTTTGAATAAAAAAACTTCTCACCTAATTTTTGTACTGAGATTTTCAAATACCTGGATCCATGTAATTTCCTCAAAATCGTATTAGTATACCCTTGGGCCCATTTGGCTATTGTAGCCCAAATTTATTGGGTCTTCTTTTTATGTATTAAGTTGGTCTTAGTTGAAAATTTGGGCTTCAAGCCCATCTTTTTGTTGGGATAAAAGCATAATTATCCTAAATTTGGGTCACTGAAAACCTAAAAATAATGTTATTTACCGTTTCAAAATTTTGGACACTCAAATATAAGTTTAAAATCTCAATGGCATAAAACGTATTTAAAGGTAATAAGCTGGAGAAAGAGGAGGAAATTTCTTAGTGGTTTTATATTTTTCGAATTTAAGAACATGTCTGGTGCAGATTTTGGAAATGAGAAATTGATTTCTTGTCTGTTACCTTTTGACATATGTGACACAGATTCTGCTGCTTTCTTTGAAATAGTTACCGTTGGACCACGTAACGGTCAAAAAATGACTTTTAATCCAATTTTTAACTAATCCCAGACAAGCCCTAAATATTTCTTTTAGTTGCTAATCCAAGTTTCGCTTTTGGTAATCTAATATTGGATTTTGCCCGTTTGAGTATATATTTTGCTAGCTTGAGTTTTGATTTTCTTAATTTGATATTTTATTTTGATAATTTGAGTATAGATTTCGCTAAATTGAGATATGAATATGTTAATGTCAGATGAATGCTTTCAATGTCTGTTCATAATGTCTAAAGTATTATATATTGTGAATAGTTACTACATCAATTTATTTTCAACGTTGTAAATGTTTTCTATGTTTGTTCATAATGTTTGAAGTGTCATTCATTGACAAAATATTTGATATGTCGTCTTCGATTAAAAGTCTTCTTTATGAAATATTGTGACTTGTTATCCATGTTCTAAAATGCCTAATGAACTATTTGTTTTTTG